TCCAGGAAGCTTCTAGCTGCCGCCAATCGATTCTCCGTGTCGATTCACATAAGATGCGTGAGTTAAAAATTTGATTTAAAGCTTGTGGAGCAAGCTAGAGAGGCTCAAAATATGGTTGTCCGATTTTTTTGCGCCTCTACCCAACTTTGAGTTTCTCTAGCTCGTTCCACAAGCTTTAAATCCGGTTTTACCTCACGAATCTTATATAAATCAACACGAAGAATCGATTGGCGGCGGTTAGAAGTCTCTTGGATAATGGCTAACCTGAAAATTTTGCTGAATTCCCTGCTTTGGGTGTAAATTGATTGGGGGCTTTTGGAAGGAAGCGAAGCGAAGGAAGCGATTCTCCCAAAAACACCAAAATCCTGGATCAACTGATCAACAAAGATTGCAATCTCATGCATTTCAGGCCGCCGGCGCTTCAGAATCAGTCGACACAGTGCCTCCACTGTATTTCGGTGGTGTTCCCACGTCTCTTGCCGGCAAAGTTCGAGAAGTTGTGCCCAATATTCGCAGTGAATTCTCTGGATGTCTTCGCGAGTTGAAGCTCAATGACAAGAAGTTCGATTCGGAAGCTGAAGAGGTTCGTGATAGAGTGCGATTGATTAATAATTAGAAACTGAGCGTACAAAGCTGCTGAATACAATACTGAATTTTAATTAAAACAAGGTGATGTGCTCTGTTTCACAAAACGTCTTCACTTTTAAAAGCTTTCAAATCTAATCTTGTCTTTTTTGGTACAGAAGGGTTACGGTAGTTTCTAGGATACAGTAGTTTCCAGGATACGATAGTTTTCAAGATTACGATAGTTTTCAAAAGTTGGCACGTTTTAGAAAACGCATTAGTTGAGAGGAGAACACACTGACTTGTTTTGTACAAGAGCTTGTACACACTAACTTGTATTGTACAAGAGCTTGTACACACTGACTTGTTTTGTACAAGAGCTTGTACACACTGACTCGTATAGTACAAGAGCTTGTACACAATGACTTGGATTGTACAAGAGCTTGTACACACTGACTTGTATTGTACAAGAGCTTGTACAAACTGACTTGTATTGTACAAGAGCCCGTACACACTGACTTGTATTGTACAAGAGTAGTGAGTGGCAAGAATGAATCGTAAAGTAAATCCTCACTTACACATAATCCTTACTTGCATAGTTTTATCAAATCTAGGTAGTTAGCTTTTCAAATATCTTCTAAACTCAAATTCCAGCATGGAGTCGTTCCCTGTTCTCATTACCAGGAAAGTGGAATGTTCTTCGGTGATGCCGGTGGATACGCGATTGTCAACAAAGAGTTCACGGTGAGTAGTTGCAAAACTAGAGTTTTAAAAGAAATTTGGATTTTTAAGTAGAAGTTTTAAGTAGGTTTTTAAATGCAATTCTTGTCTTAATCTATTTTTCAGGTTGGCACCACTTTCTCGGCCGAATTCGAGATTCGCCCACGGACCAACAACGCCGTTCTCTTCAGCGTTGGCGTCTTGGAGTACTTGAACCTCGAGATTCTCAATGGAAAGGTAAAACTTACTAAAATTTAAGAAAATGATCGCATTTGATGATAAAAACACTGCAAAAAGTTATATTAGAGATCTGGGGCAAAGCTAGGACAAAGCTAGGACAAAGCTAGGACAAAGCTAGCATTTCGGAAGAGTTTTGAAACAGTTTTGGACTTCGAGATCCAGAAATTTATGGGGATTGATTGAAAATGTTTCATTAGACTTTAAAAAATCAATAATATAATATAATAGAATAAGAATATAAATCAAGAATATCAAGAACATCCTTATCCAAAAACAAAAGCCAATTCCATTCCAGATCCGCTTCACCGTGGACTCCGGTCTTGGCTCCGAATCCATCAACTTTACCCCATCAGGCACAAGTGGAAACAATCTCACGCTATGTGATGGACATTGGCACAGTGTTAAGGTGAAATTTTAAATTATTAACAAAATATAGCTTTAAATTTAGGTAAACAAAAAGAAGCTTTTGATCACGGTGACCGTTGATGGACGCTCGTCGATCTTGGTGTTGAAGAAGGTCAAGAAGGGAGAACCGACGACGAAGGTGAGACAGGAAAATCCTTGAAAACCTTTGAAGTTAGATAATTGTTTACTGGAACAAGAAAGAAAAAGCAAAAAAGAAAAATGGACAAGTACAAGAAAAATGGATAAGCTTTTCAGGATCCGGTCTATGTTGGTGGAGTGCCCGATGGGGCCGTGAACAAAGGATTGAAGACAACGGGTGAGAATAGAGCCTGAGTATCACACACTCATTAAAAAGCATAACCGGTAGTTGAAACTAGAACTGTTTACTGAAAGATAATATAGATAATAATCAAGTAGATAATAAAAAATAGTCGGATCCATCAGAAATTCGATCGAACAAAATTTTCGATCGCATTTTAATGAGATAAAAAAGGTAGCGGGCTATTAGGTTGCCCGGAAAGTCTTGTCCGCTTTTTTAAAGGTTACTTTTTGAAATAGACAATGAACCAATCGATTTATGGTTTCTTTTATTAGAAAGTCCTTTTATTTATTTACAAATTCCCCTTGAAGAAATTCTGAAAAGCTCGCGTTATTTCATTTTTTTAAAATTGTCAAGTCGAGCAGTCAAAAGCGAAGTCAAACGAAGCAAAATCAAAGTCAAAAAGCAGTCTAAAAGCAGTCATATTATCAATTCAAAAGTTCGAATGCTAATAAATGCTAATAAATTTTTGAACATTTTCATCTCCAGACAACTACGTCGGTTGCCTCCGCGTTGTTCACTTTGGCGCCAAGAAGGAGAAAGTTCGCGTGCGAATGAGGAAACAAATCCCAACCAGGGACATTGAGGTAATAGATTTGAAAGTTTGAATGCTCCAGGAGTCAAAATTCAAAAGTTAATTCAACAATTCAATAATTCAAAAGGAAATCTTCAAAAGGATTTGTTTGTTTTGTTCATTTGTTTTTCTAAACCTCGAAACTTTCAGGTGTTCGGCGATGTGAACAAGGTCGAGTGCCCCGTTAACTAAAATCAATTTTTTCTTTAATTACCCAATTATTTTCTATTCTCGTTTAAGCTTTAAATCTTTGCTTTAATCATTTTTTGTTTCTTTGTGATTTGATAATCATTTTATTCTGTATAAAGTGTCTTGCCAAACTTTAGCCAAAACGCAGTCCATGATTTAGACATAAACCACCAATAATCACTACACAGATTGACTAAATGAGCAAGCCAGCAATAGCTGCACTCTCAGTAGCTTCACATTGAATTCACAAGGCTTTATTTATAAAAAACAATCATCAATTCTCACGTGGAATGCTTAAAAAAAGGTAGAAATTTAAAGAAATCAAGAGAAATAACTGAAAAAAAAAAAAAGGTTTGAAAGTTTGAGACCTGTGCATGGGTTCTAAGGAAGGGGTTTTATAGCCCAAAAAAGGTTAGAGTAAGTAGAGCTTTTCTAGGGAAAACAGAGCAACAGAGCAAATATGTGAAGACAGAAAAATCTACAGAAAAATTGACAGAAAAATGATGAAAATTCTCTCAAAATGGATATGATTTTCACAACGAAATTTTAGCAAATTCATGATTCATGGAAATTTATGAAAAATTGGAAATTTGAGGTCATGGGGGAAAATTCAAATCCTTAAATTTACCTTGAGAAGAGAGCGCAAAAATTCGGAAGAAATGCACCAAAGAAAAGCAATTTCTCATGAAAAGAAAGCAAATTTGCATTGGACAAACCCTTCAGATATTGGATATTCAGCTTATGAACTAGATTTGACTAGAGGATTGGTAAAATTGAGGGAAATTTCTATAAAAGTTGCTATAAAAGTTGCTATAAAAAGTTGATAATTTGGAAAAGCTTACTGTAATCTTTCCTTCAGATTTTCTTGATTTGGTTTGATTCTTGATTTGATTTGATTCTTGATTTGATTCACTGGATTTTTGATGAGAAACAGTTTGATCACAGTTTGATTTCTCATCATTCGATAAGGAATCAAATTGTGATCAAATTGTGATCAAATTGTGATCAAATTGTGATCAAATTATGACTTAAATGGGATAAAAATAAAGTAGAACTGGAGAAAACTGAAGGAAAGAGACGATAGGCTTACAAACTGGTCACTTTTTAGGAAAGAAATTGCTTAGGAAGGGTCCAAAAAGATCCAAAAAGATCCAAAAAGATCCAAAAAGCTCCAAAAAGATCCAAAAAGCTCCAAAAAGATCCAAAAAGATCCAAAAAGGTTTATAGGCCAAAAAAGTTAGAGTAAGTAGGGCTGGATTGAAACTTTTCTAGGGAAAACAGAGCAAATATGTGAAGAGAAATGATAAGAAAACGGGAAATTGGAAATTTCGAGCAGAAATGCTCGTTTAACTCAATCTTATTCTTTAAATGAATAGATTTTTGAGCTTTCTCACGGTGAATTGCTGTGTGCTTTGTGCTCAAAAACGCACACTTTCTAGAAGACTGAAACATCAGCTTTTCTCGCAAAATCGAATGACTTTTGTGTGAAATTTGAAGAATTCAGTGCACTAGAAAGGGTGTATTTTCAAAGTTTTGAGAGAAAGTCGTTTATTTTGTGCTCAGTTTTTCAAAACACACCCTTTCTGGTGCATTGAATTGCAAGAAACTGCACCTTTCTGGTGCAGTTTCTTGCAGAAATCGAATCTTCATCAAATCTTCATCAAATCTCCATCAAATCTTTCTTCCAAGAATCTCCATTTTCTTGTAAGAACAGTAAGAAACAAGAAGAATTCAGAATACCAGAAAGGGCCCGTTTTCAAAAGCACAAAGCACACCGTGAAGCTTTGCAAACGCGCTGGATCTGGTGCAATGGATCATTCAAAAGAGTGATGACAATTTAGACAATGGAAATTTAGACAATCAAAATTTAGACAATCGAAATAATAAAAGAAATACCCAATGTTAAAATGGAAAGAAATTGAATTCGTTACAGGATTACGGTATTTAAATAATTTAAAAAGATTATACTATAGCTTAAATCTCATCTTAAGCATAATATCCAGCATATCGGACTTCTCGAGAGGCTCTGCAGAGAATGCACGAGAAGAAAAGTGACGCGATTTGCACGGCGACGAGAATGAAAGCGATCACGACGATCGTTTCACCCGATTCCTCGATCTCGCGTTGCAAAACGTCGAAGCAATCGCTCTGGAAGGAAATTATTGAAATACTTTACATAATTACAAATCTTTTATTTCAATAAAATCTTGAATCTTCAAGTAAATGGTCCTTGAAATTTGGTAAAGTTCAAGTTCTCAACCAAGCTAAAGTCTTGGTTGAATTTCCCGTTATAACAATTCAAAAGGCAGTTATAACGTAGTTAAACAGTAGTCAGCTTTCAAATAAGATTGGGATCTGTAGAATTTAAGTAATGAAACTGAAAGATTTGTTTAGGGTGCGTGAGAAGCTCTGTCTGGAGTCTGGAAAAGCTGGAGAGTGCTCCAAGAATCGTTTGTACGGCTCGAAGCAAGAAATTTAGAGAAAAACGGACTTCAGATTTGAAAAGTTTGACTATTTTTACCCTAGAAATGCTTCTTGTTTAAAAGATTTTCGATTTGAAAATCCGATTTCTTTGGATGAATTGCCCACAGACCTTGGCTTCTTTGATATTCTGGTCCTTTTGAGTGCGGCCGAAAATTTTAAGCTTAAAAATCGCGAGCTCTTAGCCAATCTGACCGTGAACGGCTAGTTTTAAAGGGAAATATTTCTTTTTTTCTTTAACATTTAAAGAAGTTGATTCTATTTCGGCTATTTCACACTTTAAAATCAATTATTATTAGAGGTGGCGACGAAAAAAAAAGAGTAAATGAGTTCCGTGAATAATCGAGCCAAAAAAAGATTTTTAAAACAAAAGATCTTTTGAAGAAAAAGCATTTTTTGGGTAAAAATAGTCAAAGATTTCAAATTTGATCTTCATTTTTCTCTATTTTATTTCATTTTGTCTAAAGAAACGACAATCTTTGGAGCTTAAACAATTTTCAGAGCTGGAGCTTCAGAGCTGGAGCTTCAGAGCTGGAGCTTCAGAGCTGGAGCTTCAGAGCTGGAGCTTCAGAGCTGGAGCGAAACTTTTCATGCGCCCTGTATTAGTATCACCCGGAATGTACTTTCAGCTTAAACTTTAGAAACGCACCTTTCCTGGCACACTTGTTTGGCAATGTTAAACTTCAGTGTGCGAGAAAAGGGGCGTTTATAAAGGTGCGGTGGTGCGTTTTACCCAAGAATGAGATTTCAGGCCAAGAATTTCTTTAAAACCTTTAAAACCGAGAATTTCTTAGTTACTAGACACTAGATAAATTAGATTAGATAAATTCCGCAAACCTTTGTCGCCAACTCTCCCGGACAAAGCCCTCCATCGACGAAGAAATGTTTCGTCGAGGCGGTGGCTCCACAACAATGGAAAACTTCTTGAATCGGCTTGAGCGCCGTTCGCAGATTCTCCTCATTACCACACTTTTCCATTACCTAAAACCCTTCACTAATGATTGTTTTTCTCAGATTTTTCCCAAATCTTGAGCTTTAAACTAACCTTTCCGAGGGAATCGACGAATTTTTCTTTGTTAACAAGCGCGAAGATTGTGGCGGCTAACTCCAAAATCGTGCAAATGACAACAATGAAGAAGAACTGAAATATATTTTGGTGTTGGTGAGGATTGATGATGAGCAAATGCTATCGATTAGTCGATTGCTGTCGATTAGTGTCGATTTCGAAATTCATAAACTCACCAGTGACAACAAGACGGGACTCTCACAGGCGGCACCGCAACATCCGAGAAAACCGACCAAAAAGAGGATGATCCCAACACCGACTAACACCCAGAGACTCGCTTGATACTGAAAAGACAGTTTGATGTTCCTAGGGTTTTCGTGCACGCTGATTCGATTGGTGATATTGAAATTGTTTATTGAAATTGCTTATCAAATAGTTTTCCTTCATTTATTTTTATTTTTAGTTCACAGAAAAGGCAATTCCATGAAATAGATCGAATCGAAATTCGTTTTCGCAAAAAAATCTGTCAAAGTTAAGGAGCTATACGCTTCCGCTTGGGCCGGGCTTCCAAAATGCCACTGGCACGTTGCAAAAAGGGTTTTCGGGCACGCTGATTCGATTGATGATATTTTCAGAGCCTGTTTGCGACGACCAGAAGTTGCCAAAAAAGCGTTCCTAGGGTTTTCGTGCACGCTGATTCGATTGGTGATATTTTCAGAACCTGTTTTCGACTTATTTCTTCTTGTTTTTTGAATTTTATTTTTATAAACCAACAACAAATTGAAAAGTAGGGCAACAATATGCAATTAAAACAAGAGCTAAATTCTCGTTTACCCTCACCCCAATTTCCCCCATTTTCCCCCAATTTTTCCCGATTTTCTTTCTAGATCCATTACCTCTAGGGGTTTTTTTATTTGCTGAATCTGAATTTTGATGTTTCATCAGCTAAAAACTAGCTTCCTGAACTAAAAATTGAGTTGCGAACTTCATTTTGATAGAGTGACTTGGGGGGAGGGGGTTTTCCTCACAAATGGGGTGTCGCCCGCCTCCAAACTTTGCCAAATCATTTTTTTACTCAAAAAAACACAATAATAAACTGTTTTAGATCAGAATTTGAAAAAAAAAGTTGAAAAAGAATTTTTTTTGACTAAAAATCCATGTGGGGGACCACATGGATTTTTTCAAAAACAAAATTAAAAATTTCTTAATCTCAAAACAAAACAAAACTCTCTTTAATCCATCTGAGATGTCGATTTTCGTGATCTACGCATAAAATTACCCCAGAAAAACAGGTTTTGGGGACTAGAAGTGTACTTGAAAACTAAGATATGGCTGGGGAGAGTGGGTGAACTAAACTCTTACCAAAGCTAGTAATATTTTCTAGTGATCTCTTCGGAAACACCAACAACAACAAACTGTTGTTTGTTGTTGTTGTTGTTGCTTGCAAATACAACAATTTTAGGGAGTTATGCGTATTCGAAAAACTAATCGAATCAGCGTACCCGAAAACCCTATGAACGAGAGCAACGTGCCAGAAGCATTTTGGAAGCCCTCCGCCCACTTCCCCCAACCAATTCCATAGCCTCGAATAGCCTTGAAACTAGCCTCGAATAGCCTCGAAACTAGCCTCGAATTTAAGCCTCCAACCAGCCTCGAATTTAAGTTAGAATTTAGAAATGTACTTGAAAACTAAGATATTTTTATTTCAATTCTATCTAGAGGTTATCTAGTGAAATTATTATTTCTCTAGTTTATAGATTTCATGATTCACTGTAATCCTGTATTCCACTGTAATCTAATCTCTGAAAAGCTCTAAAAGTCTTTAAATATTGAAGCCTTCATTCTTCTTCACTCACTTTTGCAATATCATCAATGTGATGTTCTTTTCCTTGATCGATATTTCGAATGAAATCGGATAAATGTTGCGAGAAATTCTTGTCCACATTCGCCCATAGGGAGAAGCCGAAAACGAGAGCGCCGAAGATACAAATGAGGAGATTGACGAGGAAAAATAATAGCTTCACACAGCGATTCCCACAACCGTAAACCATTGCTGTGCACCTGAAATATTGAGGATTTGAAAACAAATTAAATAAATGAAGGAAACGAATGAAACAAATGAAGGAAACAAATGAAAAATTCAAAGAAAACTTTATAAAAGGCAAGTTTGGCAAGTTTGAAACGAAAGAAAATAGGAAGATTTGATTGAGAATTCCCCTAAAATTCGTCGTTTTCTCATAAACTTTTTGCCGAGTAAAGGAAATCGAGTAGATGAAAGAAAAGGAGAAAAGAAAAGAGCGAAAAGGCAATTGAAAGGCAATGAAAAAGTCTCGATTTCAAGCGAATCTTCAATGAAATAAACATTTACTTGTTTAGAAATCAATATAAGAGAAAAAAGAATCGTTGGATATAAACGATTTGATGTGTTTTTGCGGTGATTCATTTGTGACATTTTGAACAGAATTTTGGGCAAAAAAAAAGTGGAAACAAAGCGCAGAAATGTGAAGAGAAATCATAAACGATAGAAAAAAATTGTTAGATTCTTGGATGTTAAAACTATCAAGGAACTATATAGGAACTAAATAGGAACTATACAGTAACCAGATAAGAACTATAAAGGAACTATATAGGAACTAAATAGGAACTATACAGTAACCAGATAAGAACTATAAAGGAACTGTATAGGAACTAAATAGGAACTATACATGAACCCGAAAGGAACTATATAGGAACTATATAGGAACTAAATAGGAACTATACAGTAACCAAAAAGGAACTATAAAGGAACTGAATATGAACTAAATAGGATCATTTTTATTTTTCAAGATCAATTTCGCACGAATATGTATTTAGCGGGTTTAGTTTTGAACTGTAGTCTTTTTAGCACGTCAAGCAAGTCTGACAAAGACAACAAAGAGGACAAAGATTGATCGTAGGTAAAGACAAAAAAGATTACATTTGAAAGGTTGGCTTTAAGCAAAATTAGCTCATCGTTCTTAAGATTTTCTAAAAAAAAGTTTGAAAAATGTTTTCCCAAATCAATTAGAAGTCGAAAAGTTTAGTTTTGCGAGTGTTGAGTGGGCTTATCAATTGATAGAGGTTCTGGGAAAGGGGAGGACTGATAGTAGGTCTTGTGAAAGAAGTCAGGGTACAAACTATCGTTCTTTCTCTAATGGTACACCCTAAATTGCTCGAAATCTCGAAAACCGCTTATCAGAACCTATCGATGTGGGATCGGAAAATGTAGCTGACGATCTTGTGGGGGATTAGAGTGTTGAGCTTCTGCGAAAACTTGGAGATCGTAAAATCGTCATCAACTTGGCTCACCTTGGCTCACTTGGCTCACCGGGGTGCACTACAGGGTGACCATTAAGTTACCAATGAAACCAATGAACCAATGAACCAATGAACCTTTGTCCTGGACTCTAGCATCGGTTTCAAGAAGCTAGAGAGATTCAGAGATTTTCATGAGTATCTAGCAATTAAAAATTAACAATTAGAACAACAACAAGAACATTAACAACGATTTGAACGTGTTTGAACGCCTGGCGGCTGCATTAACCGTGGCAAACAAGCAACATTTCAGGGAAAATCATTATTGAAATCCGAAATAACTGTGCTATTTAACAAAGTTTTGCTTGTACATGATTCATTACGTTTATTCAACTTAATTTCTATTCGTAGAAGCTTTTCTGAACCATCGATTCTGATGAAGTGCAAAAAAAGCTATTCAACCTAGCTTTTGACCTGCTATTAACCTGCTAAATGCAGGTTTTCGTGTATTCCTTTTGGAGAACTGAAGGAAACTTTGATTTATTTTTGTTAAAGACTTTCGTAGGAAGTTTTATATTCAAATAGTCAACGATCGCCTTATCGTCATTAGAGGAAAAAGTAAAAAAAGGCTCATCGTTTCCATTCTTATTGGTCACCCTGTAGAGGAAATATGATAACTTGAAAGTTTTAAGTGAAAAGGATAGGAAAAAAACTGTAGTTATAAGAAAAGAGATAAGTGTTTCAACTAATTCTGGATCTGTAAGACAGACTGGCTCAGATAGGTGGATGCTTTTGTTATCTGTTCTTTTAGGCCAAAGTCAGCTGTAAGCTCTAGCTAATGGTAAGACTGGTTTGCCATAGAAAAATCGGTTTCGAAACATTTCTAGAAGGTCAAAAGACAATTCATTTTACAAGCTTAAGGCTATTTCAATTGCTTTGTTTAACTCACACAGTTTAATTGCCTTTTTGTGAGGTAAATTTGTGAAGCAATCTAAAAGTGTGTCCAGAAGTTAAACTTAACGTTGGCACCTGTTTTAAAAGTTTCTTGATTTGCAATATCAACTAAAGGCTAGAATTTAAGGACAAGAAATCCAGAAGAAATGGATTTTTTTTGTTGCAATACTTGAAAGTGAAAGATTGATGGAGTGAGGGTGCGAGAAAATCCCAAAAAATCTCTACTGGTATTAGAGAAAATACGGTATCTATTTTGGTTTGGATAGCTTCAAGTATCACACGATTTGGATTTGGTAAATTTTTGAGAAAACGTTTAGTTTTTTATACACAAAGTACATGAAAACTCAAGGCTTTTAAGCCTTGAGTTTTCATGTACTTTGTGTTTCATGTATTTCATGTACAGACTACAGACTACAGACTGTTCAGTTTTCAAAAAAAAAAAAAAAAATCAGTGCAACTGTACTTATTTGCTTAATGATTTGGTTTTTGATGTTTTGATGTTTTGTTTTTGATGTAGAGCTTGAAATGAGAGCATAATCATATGATAACAAATCTATTTTTGCCTCATAAAGTCATTGACTGAATATCTTGAAGTATTGTTAGAATGTATTGGGTTGGTGAATTGAAAACTGCGGGCTAATGTCATATGTGACAGTTTGAGCACTTTCTTCAAAAGAAGCCCATTTTGGTGTCAATGGAAAAGTTGTAGAGAATCAAAAATCAAGCTTATATCCTAATTTTCAGAACGATTTAAAAACTGGCTTTAAAGAAATGCGAAATTTAAGAAAGAAATGCCAAATTTTCACAAAACTTACATTTTTAAGCGAAACTACTAAGTGTATCTTTTTGGAAATTTGGCTATAAGCCTAATTTTTGATTCTCTACAACTTTTCTATTGACACCAAAATGGGTTTCTTTTGAAGAAAGTGCTCAAACTGGGATCTCCAGGTCCAGCTCCAGTCCTCGATTTTTGAGTCTCACACTTGTCTCACACACAAACCAAAATCCTACTACGAAAGAGGAATCCGCAAATTGCCTGTAAAATGGGCAGAAGTTGTCAATAATAATGGAAATTATTTGGAATGAATTTATGGTTTTATGTTGAATAAATTTTAGTTCAAAGTCCGGCAGTTTTCAATTCACCAACCCAATAACAATAAGTAAGTGTTCAAAATAGATCTTTCTAGAAAATCTTTCTAGAGCTTTCTAGAAAATCTTCTTCTTCCTTTTTCGTTGAAAAATCAAAAATTCACCAATTAATCGATGATTTACTTGAAATAAAAAATGTTTATTGTTCAATTTCCCAATTTCCCAAGACTTTATTTGTCAATTTTGAAAAACTTTAATGGAATAGAACTATAAAAGTTTCAAAATTCAGATTTTCACAACTTTAAAGCTTATCAGAATAAGCTTATCAATATCAGAAAAGTTGTGCTTTTGGATTTGAGATTTACACTCAGTTAGCAAAGAAATAAAACGAAAAAGCCATAAAAAGTTAAACATAAACCCGTTTAGTTAAACATAAAATTAAACCTTAAACGTAAAACTTAAAAGTAAACTTGTCAAACTTCCTTGAAAGGCAAAAATTTGTCGAAAATGTCAAAAATGTCAAAAACAGTCAACGCGAAACGGTCAAAACATTTCACAACGATTTTTTTGGGGGAAAATTTTTATTCTCCGATTTCGATGAAGGTCGAACGATGGAAAACAAAAAAAAAAGGACTCAAATGAAAAAAAATTTCTTTGAAAAGACACAGATGTGCGGAAAAAGAAAGAAAATTGACAAAACTGAGCAAATGAGTCACTCATTTTTGTATAGATTTCCCGTTTTTTCTTTCTAGAGGACGCGCTGAACGCCTTTTTGTGTTTGTCTGGGATTAAACGGGAAAAAAGAGCATTGGCTTACGATTTGTACAAAAGAGCACGTTTTTTAGCTTTTAGCTCAGCTGCTAAGCTTTTGAAATGATACAAAAGTATTGGATGATATTTATCAGGAGTTGCAGTCGAGTTGCCGAGTTGCAGTCGAAAGTGTTGGCTAACGCTTTAGCGGTTTAGCTTGTCAGGTTTAGCTTACGGTTTACCTTGTCAGGTTTAGCTTACGGTTTAGCTTGTCAGGTTTAGCTTACGGCTTAGCTTGTCAGGTTTAGCTTACGGTTTAGCTTGTCATGTTTAGCTTACGGTTTAGCTTGTCAGGTTTAGCTTACGGCTTAGCTTGTCAGGTTTAGCTTACGGTTTAGCTAAACCTGTCGTTGCGAGGCTTGTCGCTTTTTGTATATTGTGTTTGAATTTTGGAAACAAGCCCATTCTGTTCTACATTGAGAGCCGATAATCATTCATTATTGTGCCAAACAAGATTGGTTTTCATTTTGGAGACCAGAAGACACCCAAAGAATCAAATTTTGACACAGGAAACTCACAAGGGAATGGCCAGAAGTGGGGGTGACCTTTTGGGATGAGTGTATCAAATTCATTTTTGCTCCTTGTCGGCTCAATTTCTCGTTGTAGAGTTACTTTAGGAAGCTAATTTTTTTGATCATCAATTTTCATCATGAGATCTGTTGAATTTGATATCACTCATCCCAAAAGGTCACCCCCACTTCTAGCCATTTCCTTGTGAGTTTCCTGTGTCAAAATTTGATTCTTTGGGTGTCTTCTGGTCTCCAAAATGAAAACCATTCTGGTTTGGCACAATAATGAATGATTATCGGCTCTCAATGTAGAACAGAACCACAACTGGAACAACAACATGGAAAATGTGACTGCATAAAAAATTGAAAAAGCTGAAGCTAAGACTGAAGCTTGTACAGAAATGAGAACGCTTTAC